TTTTGAGATAGAGCCTTGCTCTGTCGCCCAGGCAGGAGTGCAGTGGCGCAGTCCTGGCTCACTGCAACTTCTGCCTCTTGGGTTCAAGCAATTCTCTTGCTTCAGCCTCTTGAGTAGCTGGAATTACAGGTATGCACCACTATGTATTGTATTTTTAGTAGAGATGAGATTTGACCACGTTGGCCAGGCCGGTCTCAAACTCCTGATCTCAGGTGATCTGCCCACCTCGGTCTCCCAAAGTGCTGGGATTACAGGCGTGAGCCACCACACCCAGCCTCCCTTACCCCCTCCTATCAGGCCAGGCCTAGACAGGAGACAGGACGGAGGGAGCCCGGGGGCGTGCCTCCAAACACCCATCCTCCTTCCTGGCTTGGATGAGATGAGCATTTCCCCAGGCACTGGGAGAGCTCAGACCTCCATAGCAGCACTGGGGCTGGGGTAGGGGCTGAGACTCGAAGGGCTGACAGCCAAGAAACAGGCCACGGTGGGAAGGTCAGAGCGTCGGCCACATTGAATGTAGCTCTGGATAGAGGGTGGAGGTGGAAGTGTGGGTGAGTGGCCCCCATGAAAAAGGTGTGGAGGTGGGAATAAGGATTGTGAGCAGGGAGGGGACAAGGAACCAAGGGAGGGCCACCTGAAAATGCCACCCTGTCCCCAGGTCTGGGGATGCCTCTGCCCTCTCCCCAGCTAGGGTTTTTCTTGGAGATGAACTTCAAGGTGAATGCAAGAACGGGGTGAGCAGGAGAGGGGGGCACCAGAGGTGGGGCTCCCGGAGAGAAGGTTCAGGTGCCCTGGCTGGATCCTCACCAAGAACTTCACCCTCTGCACCTCCAGTTCTCCCCAGAATTCGCCCCCAGCTTCCTCCTTCTTTGGAGGGGGTGAGGGAGGTGCTTGCTTCTTGGAGGGCTCTGGTGGGGGCTCAGGAACTTCTTCCTTCTCCCCATTCTCAGCACTGCAGGGCAGGACAGAGAGAAGTCAGGAGGTGCCTGGGCAGGCAATGCTTGAGTTCATTCACTCAGAACCGTTCACCGGGGGCCTGCTTCGTGCCTGGCTCAGGTTTGGATGGTGCTGTGTACATGGGGTGATGAAATAATCTCAGGACTTGCCCTTATGAGGCTCCAGTCCAATGTGGGAGACAGGCAGTGACAGTGACACCAGGCAGTGACAGCCCAGAGTGGTTGGGATGCAGGAAGCTCAGGGGGTTGTAGCAACCTGGAGGAGACACCTCCTCAGCTTAGGAGGGGTCAGGTGTCCTGGAGGATGGAAAGGATGAGAAAGACTCAGAGGAGGCAAGGAGGCCCGTGTTCCAGGCAGAGGGAACGGCACACAGAAAGGCCTGGTGACCAGACAGAGCATCCAGTTTTCTCTTTTTTTTTTTTTTGAGACAGGGTCTTGCTCTGTCACCCAGGCTGGGGTGCAATGCTGTGATCAGGGATCATTAGAGCCTCCACCTCTGGGGGTCAAGCGATCCTCCCACCTCAGCCTCCCCATGGCTGGGACTAAAGACGAATATTACCACGCTTGGCTAATTTTTAATTTTTTTTTAATGTTGCCCGGGCTGGAGCATTTATTTCCTGAGTGTTTCTCTCGGGGGTCCTCCTCTGTGCCTGAGTCTGGGCAGGGTGTTGCTGAGGACACAGGGTGGTCAGGACGGCCTCGGGGCCTGACCTCTGGAGGCTCCTGGTCTAGGAGGGAGGCAGTGATAGGGGCCCCAAGGCCACTCACTCGGCTTTCTCCGGCTCCGGCTCCGCTTCCGGTTCGGGCTCTGGCTCTGGCGGGAGTTCCTCCTCCACTCCATCCACCTAGGGGCAGGGCGAGAATCAGGGCTGGGTCCCCACCCTAAGCGCTCCTCAGGGCCGCGGGCCTGCTCTCGTCTCCTTTCTGATTTCCCCTGGGTAATGTAAGTTTTCCACTTGCCCCCACCAGGAGGAGGCAGATTATGATTCCCATTTTACAGAGGGGAAACTGAGGCTTAGCGAGGGGGGCCCCTTGCCCAAAGCACTGCACAGGATTGCGCTGACTCCAAGTGCAGCTCTTCTTGTCCCCCAGGGCTTCCCACCTCCTTGGCCTCCGCACCCCACCACGGCATTCCCAGCACCAAGGGCCTGAGGATGTTAGGGGACCCTGCCTCCATGGGCGACTTCAATCCCACAACCCGTGTCTCCGAGGGTCTTTTCCTAGTGCTCCTGACCCTGTCTCGGGACTTTTAGTCTTTTTTTCTTTTCTCTCTCTCTTTCTGAGACAGAGCCTCACTCTGTCGCCCAGGCTGGAGGGCAGTGGCGCGATCTCAGCTCACTGCAATCTCCGTCTCCCGGATTCCAGAGATTCTCCTGCCTCAGCCTCCCGAGTAGCTGGGAATACAGGCATGTGCCACCACTCCCAACCACTTTTTGTATTTTTAGTAGAGACGGGGTTTCGCCATGTTGGCCAGGCTGGTCTCAAATTCCTGATCTCAGGTGATCGGCCCGCCTCCGCCTCCCAAAGTGCTGGGATCACAGGTGTGAGCCACGGTGCGGGGCTTAGGCTTGGTCTTTTTCTTGCCCTCTAATTTGGTCCCTGTGTTTCTTACTCTCTGGCTCTCCAGTTATCATTTTCTCTACGTCCTCCGGGCTCAGGGCTCTGCCCGGCCCTTTCTCCAGGTCTTCATCTCTGAGTCTCTCGCTCTCCCTGTGCGTCTGTGTATCCCTGTCTCTGAGCGTCTCTCTTGCCCCGCGCCCGCTCTGTCCCCGTGTGCGTCCTCCGTGGGTGCGCCCTGCGTGTGCCTGTTTCCCTCACCAGTTCTCTCCTCTCAGTGTGTCTCCCCACCCAGCCAGGCTCTCTTCCTCCCTCCGATCCCCCATTTCTCTCCAAAACCCCGAAGCCCCAGCTCTCACCCCCAGCTTCCTCTTGAGGATGGGAGAGCCCTCGGGCGTGGGCGGCTCCGCAGGCGTCGTGTCTCCCATGTCTCCGAGACCGCCAGCCCCTTCGGGCCGGAAGGGGCCCCCGTCGGTCACGGCCACCGCCCTGTCGGCGCCGCCCGGCCCGGCCTCGTGCGCTGCCTCCTCCTCGTCCCCGGCGCCCTCCGCGGCGTCTCCAGCGCCCTCGCCCGCACCCTCGCCGTCTGCGTCTCCACCCGGCCCGGCCGGCTGCTCGCCGTGCACCTCGTCGCTGGTGGGGTCGGGCATGCCCGCCAGGAGCTCGGTCACCGTCACCTTCTTGGCGCCCTCCACCAGGCCGCCGCCGAACAGCGAGCGCCACAGCAGGCCCAGTGCGCCCGCCGCCGCCCCCGCGCCCGCGGACCCCGCGCGCGTCACGGCCGCCCAGAGTAGCGTCGCCACCGCGGTGGCCGCCTCGCGGGCCGTGAGCCGCCGCAGCCGCCGCACGCGCCGCCGCAGGCTGCGGTAGCTGAGGCCACGCAGGGCCCGGCCCGCGGCCGCCGCCACCCGCGCCGTGGCCCCCGCCGCAGCCGTGGCCGCCGCGCCCTCGGGCCCCGCCGCGCCCTCCTCCGCGCCCTCCGCGCCCGCCTCCGCCGCAGCCTCGTCCTCATCGGTCTCCGGCTCGCCCTCGGGCTCCGAGATCTGCGCGGCGATCTGCATCTCGAAGATGGTGTCCTCGCAGAAGCTCACGAAGAGCTCCATCTTCTCGGCCTCGCCGCCCTCGTTCACCACGTCGAAGATGAACTGGCGCTTGGACTCCTTCACCTGCAGCGCGGGGCGGCGGAGGAAACGGGGGCGCAGTCAGCGGGGGCTCAGACAGCAGCGACAGCGCAGTGGCAGCTACCGGGGTCACCGCGGCAGGCTCTGTTCTACATGCATTGTTGTTTTGTTTTTGAGACAGGGTCAGGCCGGGCGCGGTGGCTCCCGCCTGTAATCCTAGCACTTTGGGAGGCCGTGGCGGGCGAACTTGAGGTCAGGAATTCGAGACCAGCCTGGCCAACATGGTGAAACCCAGTCTCTCCTAAAAATACAAAAATTAGCCGGGTGTGGTGGGCGCCTGTAATCCTAGCTTCTTGGGAGCCTGAGGCAGGACAATCGCTTGAACCTGGGAGGTGGAGGTTGCAGCAAGCCAAGATCACACCACTGCACTCCAGCCTGGGTAACAGAGTGAAACTCCGTCTCCAACAAAACAAACAAAACAAAACAAAAATAAAAGACAAGACAGGATCTAGCTCAGTGTCCTCCCAGGCTGGAGTGAAGTGGTGCCATCTTGGCCCACTGCAACCTCTGCCCCTGGGGTTCAAGCAATCTCGCTGCCTCAGCCTCCTGGGTAGGTGGGATTATAGGCGCCCACCACCATGCCAGGCTAAATTTTTGAATTTTTAGTAGAGACAGGGTTTTGCCCGTTTGGCCAGGCTGGTCTTGAACTCCTGGCCTCAAGTGATCTGCCTGCCTCAGCCTTCCAAAGTGCTGAGATTACNTTACAGGTGTGAGCCACCATGACTGGCCTGCTAATTTCTAAAAGAAGTTTTTTGCAGAGACAGGGTCTGGCTGTGTTGGTCAGGCTGGTGTTGAACTCCTGGCCTCAAGCAATCCTCTGTCCTTGGACTCCCCAAATACTGGGATTACAGGCAGGAGCCACAGCGCCTGGCCACGCTGTTGTTTTGATTATCAAAAGCAAACCTATAGAGAGCAATTTAGAGAGAGCACTCCTTGTAGGTACTCCTGTAAATGCTTCAATAAGGCCAGGCCCTGTACAAGCAGTTTCCACATGTAATTGGCTGGGCGCCGTGGCTCATGCCTATAATCTCAGCAATTTAGGAGGCCAAGATGGGTGGATCATGAGGTCAGGAGATCAAGACCACCCTGGCCAACATGGTGAAACCCCGTCTCTACTAAAATATAAAAAATTGGCCATGTGTAGTGGCGCACCTGCAGTCCCAGCCAATGGGGAGGCTGATGCAGGGGAATCACTTGAACCCCGAACCCCCAGGAGGCAGAGGTTGCAGTGAGCCAATATCACATCACTGCATTCCAGTCTGGTGACAGAGCAAGACTCTGACTCAAAAAAAAAAAAAAAAAAAAAACCAAACGCATTTAATCCTCACAAACAAGCCTACGGGCCAATGAGTTTTCTTCCCATTTTACAGATGAGGACATTTTATAGGGAGGCCCAGAAAGTGACACGCCCAGGTGACACAGACGAGGCGGCATGTATAGGATTTGAACTCCCTCCAAGCTGGCTCCAGAATGGATGTGTTTAGCTTCCTTGAGAGGAGGAGCATAGTGCCTGAAGGCAAAGGTTCTGCAGCCAGCATGCCTGGCTTCAAATCTTGATTCTGCCAGAGTAGCTGGGTGATTTTGAATTAGCTCTCCGGACCTGTTTTCCCCTCTGTAAAGTGGGCATAATAGGACCTACATTATACGGTTGGTGTGAGGGTTAAATGAGTTAATAGATGGTGCATGGTTAGAATAGTGCCGGGTGCTTAATAAATGCTGTATAGTGGGCAGGCCATGGTGGGTCACACCTGTAATCCCAGCACTTTGGGAGGCCAAGGTGGGCGAATCACCTGAAGTCAGGGGTTGAAGACCAGCCTAGCCAACATGGCGAAACTCTACTGAAAATATAAATATTAGCTGGGCGTGGGGGCACATGCCCGTAATCTCAGCTACTCGGGAGACTAAGACAAGGAGGATCGCTTGAACCCGGGAGGCGGAGGTTGCAGTAAGCCTAGATTGTGCCATTGCACTCCAGCCTGGGTGACAAGAGCAAAACTCCGTCTCAAAAACAAAACAAAACGCCGTATAGTGTTCCGTGTTATTATACTGCCCCACAGGTGCTCCGAAGTCACAGGGGCATACATGCATGCCTGAGGAGCAGGGGAAAGTGGAGTAAGAAGGGGTGAGCAGGAGGAAGCAGGTGTCTGGAGAAATAGCGCTAAGGGAAAGAGTGTGCATGTGGGGAGCACGCGGGGGAAGTGTGCAACCACAAGGGGCTCAGTGTGCTCAGTGGGCGTGGGTGCATGGGGCAGGCGTGTGAGGGCCTGGGACCTATGGGGGGACAGGACGAGTATGTGTGGGAGGAGCCTGCAGTTATGTAGTGTGTGAGTGTGCAAGGGGGAGCCAACAGCCCAGAATACGAGGACAGGGCTCCGAGTGGGACATGAGCCCGTGTGCATGAGCTGGAGTCCCCTGAGGAGACATATGAAGGGCCCAGTCGTGAAGGAGGTGACGGGTGTGCAATGAGTGGGCTATGAGTGGGAGATAAGGTGGGGTGTGCAGGTGCCTGGGGGCATCTCAGAAACCAAAAGCAAGTGTGTGTGCAAGAGAATGAGGTGAGGGTGTGTCAGGGCCATGTGGGGAGTGCAAGGGAATGGGGAGGGGAACCATATGCCAGCCAGGTGTGCCAGCTGTGCTGGAGACATGCTGGGACCATATGAGTGTACCCTTGGGGCAAGTGAGTGTGTAAGGGGTGGTCAAGCATTTGTGAGCTGGGCATGGGAGGAGCTGGATAGGGCACATCAGGTTAGAGAGTAGGTCTGGGGGCTCTTATGGGCGAGCCTGGTTTGTGGGTGAGCATGGTGGTCCCAGAGCTACAGTAAGGGCAAGTGGGCAGTGAATGAGTGAGGCATGTCAGGATTCTGAGAGGGCTCACTGGCATCCTCAGGGTGTGTGTGCCCACATGTGGGCCCAGAATAAGTGGGGTGCACATTGCATGCTAGGACTTCAGAAGGCATCTGGGGGCACACGTGATAACTGGTGAAGGGTGGGTCAGCATGCCAGGGCACCCCAGAGACCCCAAGGTGAGTATATATAAGAGGTAGCATGAGCGGGCCAGGACCAAGAGACAGCACACTGAGTGGGGGCGGCTAGGAGGGTGAGCAAGGGGTGTGTCACCATGCGGGTTCAAGGAGGTGGGGATGTGAGTGGGGCTGCATGTAGGGGCCTGCCAGAGCTCCCAGGGTGCACGTGCAAGGGGAAGGGATGGCGTGTGAGCAGCCACAGTGAGGACACACCCACCCTGCTTCATGCCCAAGGGGTGTGCATCCTCTCGTGGGCCAAGTTCTCAAGAAGTGGCCAGGGGGAGCCAGGGATGGCCGAGGGCACAGCCAGGCAAAATGTGTACAAAAGGGTGGGCCAATATCCTGTGCCCTGCTCCGGTGGGCTTGCCGGAGCAGGGCAGATAGGCGAGGCACGCACAGTCCCCTGTGGGGTCCGATAGTGCAAGAAGCGAGCACCCGCAGGCCCGAAGCCCCAGAGGCGAGCATGCACGCGCGCAGGTCACCCGACCTGAGGCATCTCCCACTGGGCGCGGTTGGTCTCCGAGATCTCGAAGTAGATGCGCTCGATGCGGCGCGAGGCGCCCATGATCTCGATGCGGCCCAGGTAGGGGCGGAAGTACTCGAGGATGCTCTCGGCCAGCTCCAGGAAGTTGTGCAGGCGTGGGTCATGCGGCACGTGCTCCGACAGGTTGGTCAGCAGCACCGCCACGTTGAAGCCGATGTCGCGGGCTGGCTCCTGGAAGCGGTTGGCGAACTCCTCGCAGTTGATCATCTCGTTCTCGTCCGCTTCGGAGCACGAAAGCAGGAACTGGATTTCTGGACCGCTGAACTGCTTCTGGCTGTCCATGGCCTGGGGGCGGGCAGGGAGGTCAATGGGGTGGCCTGGAGAGCTTCAATTCCCTCTCTCTCTCTAAGACAAGGTCTCGCACCCAGGCTGGAGTGCAGTGATGCAATCACAGCTCATCACAGCCTCAACACATCTCCCCTGGCCCTCATCCCTACGCCTGGGCTGAAGTGCCCAGCCTTCAGAGTAGCTGGGATTACAGATACACACCACTACACCTAGCTAATTTTTTTTTGGTAGAGATAGTGTCTCCCTATGGTACCAACGCTGGTCTTGAATTCCTGGGCTCAAGGGATCCTCCCACCTCAGCCTCACAAAGTGCTGGGATTACAGGTGTGAGCCACCATGCCCAGCTGAAACTTGCTTTTTTGTTTTTTGAGATGAGTTTCACTC